TAATCCGTCTCCAAACGGATCTTTTCAGAGCGCTCGCTTTACGTGTGCAGCAGGAGGGGGTCTGTGAGGAGCTCAGACAGAAACGCTCGAGAGCTGCTGGTAGAAAGGCAACGAGGAAGGAGGAGAAGCAAAACAGGTCACCAGAGAGCAGCGTTTAGTGCAAGACCTCACCGGTCACATGGCTCAGTGAACGCTCTTCAGTGGGTTTAACGCCTCTAAACCTTCTACATCATCAGTGGGATCCCCCCCTGAAAACCTAAATAAATAAATACACAATTAATTTTTAGTCAATAAATTACAAAAATGATTTTGAATTGTGGCAAATGACATAATTATGTGTGGCAATTATTTCATGGTTCATGCTTTAAAGGGGAGATGTTCTTTGGGCAGTTTTAGGCAGAGAACCATGTGATCATGAACTCAGGAGATCAGAAAGCTTAGAAGCAATGATGAAAACATATTACAGGTAATCACCGCACCTGAGAGTGCCGCAGGAAAGCTTCTTTCCATGAATCCAGATTTCATGATATTATACTGCTTAAAAGCTCCTTTGTAAACTCTGTCCCTGCCACTCGATGTCAGTGACAAACTCGCAACATTTACAAAAAGTAATCTAAATGTTTTTCTTTCTGCAAATGTGCCGTCTTCAAACACACAGATAAATTCTGCATTTCCTTGTGGACAGTGTGAGTTTCACAGCAGGTGAACTGTAAGAGTGAAATGTTTTTATGTTGTCATTTGTGCTTAGAAATATATAATCGTTTGCATGCTGATCAAAGTCATATGCTTATTAGGTCTGATAAGACTGTGTGCGAGGAAGCAGCCTTGACGTTGTAATTATAGCTGTTGATACCAGACTGTTCTGTTTCTTGATGTGCAAGACTTCACACCTTTACATGTGTATTTGAGATATGACCTATTGCAAGTTCCTGTTTTTAAAGTTTAGTAAGACGCTTACTTCTACTACTTCTATGTCTATGTATAGTATGGCTGGAAACACACACACACATGCACCTACACACACAGAATACAGACACTGATGTTGTTCAGAGATGCCTGTTTGAGAATGTCCTGTGTATTTGTAATTGCATATTCATGAATGATTGCTTGCTGACAATAAAAAGGGCTGTAGCGAAGGAATCAGTTGAAGTTGGCTGAGTTCAGGTGAAGGAATCTTTTCCTCAACTTTGGCTGACTTCCCTCGCGAGCCACAAACACGGAGAGCGCCTTCTTGCCTTGTTTGTCGTGCAGTTGTTGGTCTCGCGTTCCAGCGGGTTTTGTGCCCAGATAAACCCAACATGAACGCAGACCGATGAAGCTCAGCAGCAGCTTCTTCCAGAATCTTGTTAAAAATCTCAGTTTTCTTGTAGCTTAACATAACTTTAATTAGCTTTCATCCTCCTGGTTGTTAAAACCAGGAGTAATCCACAGCACGGCGAGGAGGCTGGCAGCTCTCCTGTGGGGGCCCCCGCAGGTCCGCCTGGTGGGATGGGAGAGCCTGTAGCACCCAGAGGACGCCCGAGGGTCCTCTAATAGGATTACAGGTGAGTCCGATGGGTTTCCAAAGAGGGAATTAGGCTGTGTTAAAGTCAGAGGCGGGAGCCGCAGGGCAGAGGCCGAAACGCCACCTCTATGTTCTCCTCCATGATGATGTCGAAGCGGCACATCAAAGGCCTGAAGGAGAAAAAAACGTATCTGTTAATACAAACGCCGCATCTCTCCTCTCGCGAAGGAAAAGAAAAATATAAAAGCCGAGTGCTTATCTGCTCATATAAAGTTCTCATCCATCAAACTGGCTGAAGACCTTTTCCAAGCCTACACTAGAGCTCCTGCTCTTCATGAGCCATAATGCGCTCATGCCCCACCTCCTCCACCTCTATAACCAACGTAGTCATAAATTTATGCCTCAGAGACCTTCTCGGTCTTATTCGACCCCAAACATGATACTGTTGGCCGAATAAACGTGTGTGCTCCCCACCCTCCCTATTTTTTAATGCGACCATCTATTTTCACAAGCAGAATACGTATTATATCACCTTTGCTTATTTTCGTTAGCGTTGTGTTTGACTAATATATGTTTTAATCAGCCTGTATAAAATCTTATCATATAAAATAGTGTATATTCCTACACATATGTAGCCTACGTCTCCTTAAAAGCGCTACGTCTCCTTAAGGCGTAGGCTTTATGAGCCAAGGAAAACGTTAGACCCCCAGTTTTATGTTCTCTTTGGTTCCCTTTTATTAGGAGATGTCTCCATTCCCATGACTGAGAGAAGAAGCACTAGCAACACAGAAGATTATCTGTAAAGAACCATTCTATACTCACTACTCAATAATGGGCTGCGTCTAACATTCAACTAAAACTCATGCTGTTTTGGACAGCCCGGTATGCCCTATCCAGAATGTAAACCCATGTATTAAAGACTCTAGTATCCCATAACACGACAAAAGCCCACCTCTGCCAGGACCAAGCTCCAGCAGCTATAGTTTACCTCCGTGTACATGCAACGTTATCGCGACCAAGATTGAAGCGACTCGGCACAGACACCACCAAGACCCGGATTTGTATCAGAGGGCCCGATACCCTAGACCAGGTGTCCGGCTAGTTGATTTCGTACGGCAGAATCGTTCTTGTGAATGTGCCATGCTACATACACATACAAATCCCCAGAAATATGGCAGCCGTCCTAAGCCCACCACGTGGTGGATATGGGTTTTATCAGAACACAAAAAGCCGGACCAGCTCTACTTGTGGCGCCAAGAGACGCGAAGATACCATGAAAGCAACCTTTAAGGCCTAAATTTAAACGACATTTTATCATCTAAAGTCTGTATTATGTGTGTTTATCTGTCATCGAAAACAAATGCAACCCCACCAAGCGAAAAATGACTGGAAGTAACAGATGGAACCTATATTAATATCCGCCTATGTGACTAAAGAATTATTATATTACTTTTAGCGATGATCATTATCTATCCTCTGAATCTCTATCATCTATCTATCAGTATTTCTATTCATTTGAGTCTTATCTATCTATTCTCTCTAAATCAATCTATATTTATCATCTTATTCTATCCATCTATCTATCCCTATCTTATATATTCGTGCTAACCCCGCTATGCCAGCTGTGGATATAATTATTGTCTCAACATACCTAGATGATATATAGTGGGGCAAAAAAGTATTTAGTCAGCCACCGATTGTGCAAGTTCCCCCACCTAAAATGATGACAGAGGTCAGTAATTTGCACCAGAGGTACACTTCAACTGTGAGAGACAGAATGTGAAAACAAAAATCCATGAATCCACATGGTAGGATTTGTAAAGAATTTATTCGTAAATCAGGGTGGAAAATAAGTATTTGGTCAATAACAAAAATACAACTCAATACTTTGTAACATAACCTTTGTTGGCAATAACAGAGGTCAAACGTTTACTATAGGTCTTTACCAGGTTTGCACACACAGTAGCTGGTATTTTGGCCCATTCCTCCATGCAGATCTTCTCGAGAGCAGTGATGTTTTGGGGCTGTCGCCGAGCAACACGGACTTTCAACTCCCGCCACAGACTTTTTCCAACTTACACCCAAGCCCAACGAAAGGTGATCTTTTCTTTCTATTGCTTTGCTCTTTTGAGGTCTGGGCATACCTGTCGCTCTCCTTCTGTAGGCCCCAAACTGTCCGATTGACTTGCTATATCCAGCAATGTCCCTCTTGTCTTACAGTGCCCAACTCCTTTGTTGCACCTCCCCGCCCAGGACTTTAAATGCTTCTTACGGAGCCACTCCTTTGTTGCCCGGGCGGTGTGTTTTGGATCATTGTCATGTTGGAAGACCCAGCCTCGTTTCATCTTCAAAGTTCTCACTGATGGAAGGAGGTTTTGGCTCAAAATCTCACGATACATGGCCCCATTCATTCTGTCCTTAACACGGATCAGTCGTCCTGTCCCCTTGGCAGAAAAACAGCCCCATAGCATGATGTTTCCACCCCCATGCTTCACAGTAGGTATGGTGTTCTTGGGATGCAACTCAGTATTCTTCTTCCTCCAAACACGACGAGTTGAGTTTATACCAAAAAGTTCTACTTTGGTTTCATCTGACCACATGACATTCTCCCAATCCTCTGCTGTATCATCCATGTGCTCTCTGGCAAACTTCAGACGGGCCTGGACATGCACTGGCTTCAGCAGCGGAACACGTCTGGCACTGCGGGATTTGATTCCCTGCCGTTGTAGTGTGTTACTGATGGTGACCTTTGTTACTTTGGTCCCAGCTCTCTGCAGGTCATTCACCAGGTCCCCCCGTGTGGTTCTGGGATCTTTGCTCACCGTTCTCATGATCATTTTGACCCCACGGGATGAGATCTTGCGTGGAGCCCCAGATCGAGGGAGATTATCAGTGGTCTTGTATGTCTTCCATTTTCTGATGATTGCTCCCACAGTTGATTTTTTCACACCAAGCTGCTTGCCTATTGTAGATTCACTCTTCCCAGTCTGGTGCAGGTCTACAATACTTTTCCTGGTGTCCTTCGAAAGCTCTTTGGTCTTGGCCATGGCGGAGTTTGGAGTCTGACTGTTTGAGGCTGTGGACAGGTGTCTTTTATACAGATGATGAGTTCAAACAGGTGCCATTCATACAGGTAACGAGTGGGGGACAGAAAAGCTTCTTACAGAAGACGTTACAGGTCTGTGAGAGCCAGAGATTTTCCTTGTTTGAGGTGACCAAATACTTATTTTCCACCCTAATTTACGAATAAATTCTTTACAAATCCTACCATGTGATTCATGGATTTTTTTTTCACATTCTGTCTCTCACAGTTGAAGTGTACCTCTGGTGCAAATTACTGACCTCTGTCATCATTTTAAGTGGGGGAACTTGCACAATCGGTGGCTGACTAAATACTTTTTTGCCCCACTGTATGTCATTAAAGTTTTCATTGACTCAGAATTAAAATTTAAAGTCAACTATTTTCCTTCTTTTCATAAATCCAGTCTGTGTGAAACAGCAGAAAGACTCACTGGTCTATTCGGGCCTCTGTGACGTTCCTGCCGCTGTGCAGCCGGATGTAGACGACCCCCCAGCGCAGGTACTGGTTCCATGTCACCATGTCCACTCTGTACATCAGCTCTGACACACACGGGACACACACAGCGTTAAAATCCAACAAAACACT